GCTCCTCTTCCATTGACCTTCAACATCCACACTGTAACTGTACCGACTGTGGATGTAACTGAGTACTTTACTCAAGTACTTCAGGATCACTGATGCACAGACCTGACAGACGGAGCAACGATCAGTAATCGATAATCAATCAGAGTGATGGAAAGCGGCCTGGATTTATCGAAGGTCGAGTCGATCTGGGTTCACGGATGGAAGCCCGGAGGTCAAGTGTGCAGAGGACGGCTGTGATGTCAGTGCTGTGTTGACGTGCACGTCTGTGTGGAAACGTTTTGCGTGCGCTGTAACGTCTGGTTTCTGGTGTCGGCTGCGGCGGCGCTCTGGCCGCCTGGCGTTAATTTGCCGGCAGCTGCTGAGTTTGTGTGTGAAATTAAAAAGCTCTCCAGGCTCTAATCCCCACAGAGCCCTCAGCCTAATTAACAGGCTTCAGCAGGAAAAACGATGGCGCTACATTAATAACAAAATTTAATCAGAAGAAGAAAACAGACGCAGGCAGAGCAGCAGAAACAGATTCTACTGAGACTCGACTGAAACAGAAACCTCGCATCAACAAACAACAAGCTTTAATCAATGAAGCTAAAACCAACGTTTCCATGTTTGTAAAGGACGGACGCACCTCCTGAAAATAACTTAACTTAATAACTTAAAAATGTAATTTCTTTGATTAAATTTAAAAAGTCAATGATCTAGTTTATTGATGAGCTTTGATGATGTGGTTTCCGTGCTTCACACGTTGTCACTGTTCGTGTGAAAGGAGCTGAAAAAAGAAAACTTAAGAGGCACTGAAGGGTTAAAAATAGTGTTATTGTAGCAAACATCCAAATATGGACCAGGGGTGTGTGTGTTTACCTCGCTTGCCTGCTGCTCTCTCTCTTGTTCCAGGCGTTTCCACTGCACGCAGACAGGGACAGAGTTAATCGGCAGTTATTGATCTGATCGGATCAATCTGCAAACACACATTTTAACTCATATCTATAATCAGTCATTCAGCAATTGATCCTAATCAATGAGCTGAGCTGAGGGCACTCGGCTCTTTCAGCAGTCCAACGTGTAGAATTATGTTTTTACAGTTTCCTCATATATTGATCCGCTGACACGCTGAAAACATCATTCGAGCTGAACGCCTCAGCTTCTGTCTGACTCATGGTGGAGCTTTCAGCCCTGAATGCTGCTGTTTTAGGACAGAAGCCTTAGGGGTCACAGAGGTCAGAGGTCAGCACTTAGGCCAACCTTAGGCCGCAGCTGTCAGAGCAGCTCTGATTGGTCGTCACGGTTATGTAAGATTCTGGTGTCAGAAAATCAGGAAGCAGGCGAGACAGATGCCTGAAACTCCGCCTCCAGTTGCAGGCGTTAAACAGAATCACAGAATTCACCGGTGACGTTTACCACTCAGTGAGTCAGGCGTGGAGCTCATGGAGGGAAAATAAGACATTTAAGTGTTTAAATTCCCTCAGGACTGCAACAACATTCAAATGCATTGCACGCTGATGTCACAGCCACAGGATATCACCACGGTTACAATCACATCACCATCACAATCATCACCACTGTTACGACCCGTGGCCATAAAAAGCCTGTGTGAGCCTCTGACTCTGCAGGTCCCTCCCCTAATGAAGAGCAGAGAGCTGCTGATTGGACCGTGGAGCACGTGACTGCGTTCAAAAAGCCGCTCTGACAGCTGCCAGGAGGGAGAGAGAAGCGAGCGAGCAGTTTTGACAGCAGACGCGGACCTGGACCTGGACGCCAACTTTTTGGGTTACTTTGTATCTGTGTGAGCGTGCTCTGTGAGAGCCGTATAAGTTTATACTTATGCAGAGGCTGAAGGGGTGAGCCGCCTTTTCTTTGAACGGTTTTGTTAACTCAAAAGACACGACGTCGTACGCACGTTCCCAGCGCTATATTCGTTCCGCCATTTTACATACAAACAACAACAACACTTCGCGGGCAACAGTGCTCTCGCGATATAACAGAAAATAACAAGTTAACATGTTTTCTCCTATTTCTGGGCTAGGAAGCGAGAGATAGTGTTGTCATTTGTTTGTTTTGTTTCTTTCTTAGGGTTTAGTTGCTTTTCTCTGGTGGGACGTAGTTGGTTTTGTTTATTATTGTGGCCTGGGTTCACCCTGGAGCTACGCTTCCTGGCATTGCATAAAATCACCTTTTTCACCCGTAGCTGGTTTCGGCTGTTTGGTTTGGGAACCAGGACGGGTGCTAGCTTCTCTCTCCTCCTTCTCTCAACCTGATGTGCTTCTCTACACGCCTAGACTAAGAGCGTAACAACCATCTCAACCACCATCATCATCACCACCATGACCATCATCACCATCACAATCATCACCATCAC